ATGTTCACAGAATTCTTCTTGAAAACCACATTTCAACTACTTCTTGTTTTGTATTTACTTCCTTTATTGTTGCCCGAGTTTCCCATCCGTACATAAGTATGGGCTCGATGTAACATAGTAAGCCTTTTTTTTGCTTATTTCGACTGATATATTTTTGTTTTACAGTATAACTTTCATATTTTCAAAGGTATCCTTAGAACATTTTAACCTCTAACCACCTGATGTTATCAATTGAGTTTTGTTCCATCAATTGTACATTTTCGGATATTCCTTTCCTTGAGGTTACGAAACATTCTGTTTTCTTGATGTTGAGAGCCAATCATTTTTGTTTCTTACTTTCAGCAATAATTATATTTATTATTGCCTTCAACATCATTTCCACTTTCAGCAACTAGCACCATGTCATCTACATACCTCAAGGTGTTGATATTATGTCGTCCAAATTGAATTACCAGCCTATTTTCTATACCTCTGAGAATAACTTAGCTATATACTGAGAAAAGGACCGAGGAGATAACACATCCTCGTTCTATTTGCCTGTATAATTTCCAATCTTTATGAATGCTCTTTGTTCTTAGTAAAGATTGTGGATGATCCTTATTATCAACACCAAGACAGCTGACAATTTTAAACATTTCTTACTCTGTGTAGTCTATCAGTTTAGTTGATTGTAAATATATATATTTCACTTCCGATGAATCTAAAATTAAATTATTAACTTTATGGTAACTTAGTTCTTGTGTAGCTTTGTGTGATTATCCAAACAAATAAGTTCTAAGCCTAACTTATTTGTTTGGATAATCACACAAAGTTACACAAGAACTAACTAAGCCATAGAGAAAAGGTAACTGGTCAACAGTACCCACCACGATGATATACTAGAGAAAAGGTAACTGGTCAACAGTACCCACCACGATGATATTATAGCCATCTCAAAGTTTGAACTTATACATTAGAGCAGTGTTTCTCAAAGTGGTCCACCAGGTATTTCAGGACTGGTCCAAAATGCAAGTCACTGATAATCTTTTTACGGTGGCAAGCAAAGGTGGGTGAGGTAGGACCGGTATAGGTGGTCAGTGGGGTCTTTTACCCCGCCAAAAACATTTGAACACCACTGCACTAGAGGGTGCTGTTGACAGCTGGTTTTCCGCTAGTCAGTCAGTTGAAACTTAGGGATGGATAATATCATCGTGGTGGGTACTGTTGACCAGTTACCTTTTCTCTAGTATATCATCGTGGTGGGTACTGTTGACCAGTTAACTTTTCTCTAGTATATCATCGTGGTGGGTACTGTTGACCAGTTAACTTTTCTCTAGTATATCATCGTGGTGGGTACTGTTGACCAGTTACCTTTTCTCTAGTATATCATCGTGGTGGGTACTGTTGACCAGTTACTTTTCTCTATAATATCAGTTTTAAAATAAGAACAGGTAGCGCAGATAACTCTCGTGTAGTTTGGCGCGAATATCCGAAACAAAAAAAAAAAAAAAAAACAAGAGCGACAGAAACTCAAAATTCGTTTTACAAATCCTCGTTCTGACTTGAGTAAATACAAAAATTCTACCTCTACGATAGAGATAAATCTTTCGAAAAAGTCCTTGCTATAAATCAAACAGTTCACTTGTGTGTTCGAACTATGATTATACGTTTAAACCCAAATCAAATCAGCTCGGGTCGCGAGATTTAATGCGTAGAACACTTAACGTTTTAATATCTAGGTCAGCAGCGACTTGAGAAAACGTACCAAGTTCATTAATTATTAAATGGTTTTAAGAGCAAGTTTAACAATTTACCACCAGGTGTAAAAATAATATAGTTTTGGTTTCGGTTTCTATTATGATGTGACTACAGTAAATGTTCAGCTAATAGTAAGAGCTCGGTGTGAAATAAGGGTTACGGTGTTCTCGTCTGTTACATCTTAACCGAATTATTAAAAGAACGCCATCAAGAAAGAGTGAAAGCGGAGTTATTAGGCTAACCCTCAACCATCGAGTATGTAATGTCTTCTTCTTTAAGGTTCACAACAGTAAAAATCTTATATTTCAGTAAAGTAAGAATAATTTATCAGGCTGGTTTAATATGTATACTCGCGCACGTTTATTTGCGCATGCGTGTCTAGGTAGTTTTTGAATAAGGCTTACGAAATTCTGCAAGTGATCAAGATATTTGGGGGGTTACTATGTAAGTTCAGTACTGATTAATGAAACACGATATAGAAACTACATAGTCTTGAACTGTATAAGTTACTATGTAAGTTCAGTACTGATTAATGAAACACGATATAGAAACTACATAGTCTTGAACTATATAATTTCAGTACTGATTAATGAAACATGATATAGAAACTACATAGTCTTGAACTGTATAAGTTACTATGTAAGTTCAGTACTGATTAATGAAACATGATATAGAAACTACATAGTCTTGAACTGTATAAGTTACTATATAAATTCAGTACTGATTAATGAAACACGATATAGAAACTACATAGTCTTGAACTATATAAGGTCAGTACTGATTAATGAAACACGATATTGTAACTACATACAAAATATCTGAAGGCATTTGTCGCCACTTATACAGTTCAAGACTATGTAGTTTCTATATCGTGTTTCATTAATCAGTACTGAATTATATAGTTCAAGATGACTTGCAAGATTTTATGTTTGGCCTTTCAAACTGTCAGTATACAGTAGTGTTCGTTTTTCAGGTTATGAAGGTGATAATTCTGGTTCTTGTGGTGTCCTCTATCGGCCATCAGGGAAGAGCTGGTACTCCCTGTCCCCCTGAGAAAGACATCTACCCCTGGTTCTGTATCAACACACCAACCTCGCACCACTACACTTTCACTACTGTTATCTGTAATAGACACAAGTGTGAGCGTCATCTTGAAAACATTGACGGCAGAGCTGGCCACATGATGTACGACAGAGTTATTATTTCCGGTGTGATCAAAGAAAAGAAGATGAAAAATGGAAGCGTATTAAGTCTTCCGCACAACTGGTTGTGGACATCTCGAGTCCGGGAGCTGGAAATCCGTGGCACTCCACTCTCGGGCTGTTTTTTATGTGACAGCCCCCTAAGTGAGCAGAAACATTATCTTAACAAACTCGTTGTTTCAAACAGTGTTCTGAGTGGAACGGTTTGTAATAATTGTAAGGAACGTGATGTGAACAATGACATCGTGGACACGTCAGGCCTCAGACATCTACGTACTTTAGAAACACTCGACTTTTCCTTCAATAATCTTGAAAAAATTACGGTTACATCGTTTCCTTCTGATCTGGTTAGCCTAAAAACAATGGTGTTATCACATAACTTAATATCTGACGTCAGCAGTAAGGCCTTTACCATCTTTCCCGCTTTAACCGACCTGGATCTTTCCCATAATCAACTAAAAATCCTTAATAGAGATGTGTTTCTTAACCCTAACCGTAATCTTAAAACGCTGAACATAAGGTAAGTTTATAATGAGACGTGTTGATTAGTCCTAAAAAAAGAACTTTAAATTACTGAACGTAAAGTTTTTAATAAGACATGTTGGTTAGTTCTAACGATAATATGAAATTACTGAACATAAGGTAAGATTATTATGAGACGTGTTGATTAGTTCTAAAAAAAACTTGAAATTGCTGAATGTAAGGTTAGTTTATAATGAGGCTTGTTGATTATTCCTGTAAGTAAAAGTAAAAAAAAAAAATAACATGAATTTACAGAACGTAATATGGCCCGAACGCAGAATGTTTGAAAGGGAGGTTCTAATTTGTGAGATCAAAAGCCAACACATATTGTGGGAAGCAAAATCAGCATACAAAGCATACTGTTAATATTAGTACTAGTAACACTACAGGAAGTTTGGGAGCATGCCCCCCCCCATAACAATTTGATAAAATAGGTGCTATGAGATTAAATCTGGAAGCAATTTTGCATGAATTATAGCTTAAACAATTGCATGACATAAAATCCACAAACATCCAATAAACTGGCAATAAGTCATCATTCTCATGTAACACTGCATGGGGACTCGACTTAAATTAGCATTAAAATGTTTGTTTTATTATAGTAAAGTACTGTACTATCTACGTACAGAGTAGTTAAATTATATTACTAATTTAAACAACTCTGTACAATAATAGTATATCAGCTATTTCATTTTCAGTCATTAGATGTTATATACGTACATGTATACAATACTGAGGTAACATGTTAGCATACTACATTCTTTTGGGCTTTATCATTTGGATAGTTTATATAGTGTGGATTTACAAGCGAGAGTTTATGACAAGTTTGTTTACGTAATTGTTTATTAATCATACGTTGTGTAGCGTGTACGTTCAATTGTTGTGAGCTAGCGATTTTTACATTGTTGCATCATGTTACTAAAACTTTCTGAATTTTTCTCGTTATTTTAATTGTGTATTATCGCATCAGAATATCTAGTAATGTATGGAATGTACAAGACTTCTGCAATAAAGAGTGTATAGTATCGATTTTAAAGTAATATTAACACAGACTGTATTGTAATAACACAGTAGAGAAGAATAATTCGTCTTGTCAATTGTGTTCTAAGGTAATTGAACCAGCCTGTGTGGACTTTGCCAACAAAAACAGACAATTATTTAAAGCTCTGGATACAACTGTGGTAACCAACAATGTAACGAACATTTGTATGTATACGTTAGACGTGTTTACATATATTATTTTAAATCAGGTGGAGTGTGTTGCTGTTTGTTTGTTGTTGAAATTTATCGCCAACTGGTCACACACACCTACTGTAAAGAATCCGGACTACAAAGCCTCACACTAGCAATACGGCTTCAGACCTCCAATTACAAAGTGTCAACAGAAGCCATTAAATGGGAATATTTCAAACCACAAAATTCTAATTCTTCATTAGAAGAATGTAGAGAACAGTAACTATCATAAGTAGCTATATATACATAATTTTTTACATCCCAAAAATAGGAGATTCATGCGAAACCCCCCGCCCGCGTACGTGCGTGGTAACGTAACTTGTGGTTGTAAGTTTAAAATAAGACGTTTTGGTTAGTCCTAATAATAACTTTAAATTACAAAACGCAATGTAATTTTAAGTTTTAAATAAGATGTGTTGGTTAGTCCTAACGATAACCTGAAATTAGGTGGACTGTACTTTGTATTAATTTTACTAAATAATCTTAAAAAGGATTAAGGGGGAATGAATGCAACCGGATCGGTCAACTGTATCGAAGCTCCACACACACAAACCAGCTAGGAAAAAAACAAAAATTGGATGTCTCATTGAAAAACTTGTTTGCAACTGTATCGCTGTAACAACAACTATTTTAACCGTTTCATGTAACACTATTATTCCGTCTGTGTTCGTTTGTTAATTTTCCGTAAAAATTATTTTCCGAAGAAACTTTAGCGATACAAGTCCTTTCTTAAATAAAACTAGTTTATTCTTTCTCAATACAACTTTGCAATACACTTAATTTCCACAGTCACGCTATAACTTAAACACACGGCATAATTCACAATGAACGATTCACGCGCTTGACTCAATTTTCCGACTCTATCTCTGTCTGCAATTCAATTCCATTGTTGCCGTCACTTCTTGGCGGTCTTATATACAAGAATACCGCATATCTAGTAAACACTCGAGCATTCACGAACCTTCGAGAATATCATGACGTGTTACTAGAGTCACGTGACTTCCGCTGTCGTAACACTATTATTCTGTAATTCTTTACTATCATATTCCTACACCTTGTACTTTAATAAATATTTCCTCGGCTATTTAACAGTAAAATTCATTATAATTACCTAACAATATATATTATACAATTTTGTTGTTATTACTGTAAATTTGTTATAAATATTAGTATTATTTAACCATCGTTTGTGTTGGTGTATTGCTCAAACTGTAGGTAATAGTAATAAATAGTATTGAGTTGTATTTGACTTATTTATGAAGTTCAGTTCGGAGGGTTTCCCCCATGCCCTTAATGTGGACCTCCCCACGATAGAACACATTACAACAGTCTTATTGATAATTTGGAACTACTGAACTTAAGTTGGATTTATAATATAACGTGTTCATTATTTCTAAAGATAACCTGAAACTGAAAGTATTGAGCATAAGGAAAGTTTATAATAAGATGTGTTCATTAGCCCTAACGATAATCTGAAAGATTTGAGCATAAGGAAAGTTTATAATAAGATATGTTCATTAGCCCTAACGATAATCTGAAGGTACAGAGCATAAGGAAAGTTTATAATAAGATGTGTTCATTAGCCCTAACGATAATCTGAAAGTATTGAGCATAAGGAAAGTTTATAATAAGATATGTGCATTAATCCTAACTGACGTTAAGTAGCAGTATCCTGGATTTATTGAACTAAAAGTGGCTCACGTAAATTAACTAACGCGACCTGACGTTGTTTCTTGTAATCAGGTTTAAATACGACTAGAACAATTAATTCACACTATGAATATTTGCGCGAAAAACAAACAAAAAAAACTTCAAATATTCACAGCATTATTTTACAGTAAAAACACAAAATTTCTTAATTAAAATAAAATTAGCTTTAACAGGTGACACTTTCCTTAGCATGTATATTATGTCAAGTTATACGAAATGCGACAAAAGTTTCATATCATCTCTGATCTAAAGGCCAAAATTTAAACTATGCTTCTTTCAGTAGGTAAAAACTGGTATATTTTCTGGAGAGTAGCTGTTGGAAAACCTGCAAAGCGTGTTATGAAACATGGGTAATATCATAATGTTTTAGCGCAGAACTCTCATTCCGGGTTCTTTTAAATTCTCTTGTGAAAATCAGCATCCAGAGCTATATAACGATAAAGTTGCTTATTTCCTCTATTAACGTTTGTACACTGTCGTACATTTTTCTAAGCCTACGCTGTAAATGATCTTAACTAACGTAAAACAAATCAACTTACTTACGTACTATCTCCTTAATTAGCTCTCAACTCACTATCTAACTAACCAAATGACGCTTCACAGAACGTCGTAGTTATAATCTACGTTAGAATGTGCTAGAACACAACTTGACGTCAAATCCATGAGGCCTATTCAACGTCATTAATTAAAACCCGCAGCGCCCTCTAGCTAAAAAATTATAAGTATACCCTTACAACAATACTAAATTTATTTTCATGTATAATTTTATGTAAAATAAGGATGAGATTACCATTGTGTGCCTATTCCCAGCTGGAACAAACTGTCAGTCCTTCCTAAAGGCCTATTCAACGTCATTAATTACAACCCGCAGCGCCCTCTAGCTACAAAATTATAAATATACCCTTACAACAATACTAAATTTATTTTCATGTATAATTTTATGTAAAATAAGGATCATTGTGTGCCTATTCCCAGCTGGAACAAACTGTCAGTCCTTCCTGAAGGCCTATTTTCCCAGATGGTTGGTCTGCTTGAAGTGAACCTTGCTAACAATCTTCTTCAGTTTTTACCTTCAACTACCTGGAACCATGATTTGACTGCTGTTCGTACAATTAATCTCACGGGTAAGTTTAATGTTCTACATTCAATGTATTTCACTGACTACTGTCGCAAGTGTTAAACAACCAAGTTAGGCTATTGACAAGTGACGCGTCATCAGAAGTGTTAAACAAACAAATTAGGCTGCTGACAAGTGACGCGTCATCAGAAGTGCTAAACAAACAAATTAGGCTGCTGATAAGTGATGCGTTATCAGAAGTGTTAAACAAACAAATTAGGCTGCTGACAAGTGACGCGTTATCAGAAGTGTTAAACAAACAAATTAGGCTGCTGACAAGTGACGCGTTATCAGAAGTGTTAAACAACCAAATTAGGCTACTGACAAGTAACGCGTCATCAGAAGTGTTAAACAACCGAATTAAGCTACTGACATGTGACGCGTTATCAAGTGTTAAACAACTAAATTAGGCTGTTGACTAGTTTCACGAGCTGTAGATAAACGGCTCGGCGTGGCCAGGTGGTTAGGGTGCTTGACTCGCGATCTGAGGGTCGTGGGTTCGAATCCCCTTCCCACCAAATTTGCTTGTCCTTTCAGCCGTGGGGGCGTTATGATGTGACGGTCCATTCCACTATTCTTTGGTAAAAGAGTTGGAGGTGGGTGGTGATGACTAGCTGCCTTCCCTCTAGTCTTTCACTGCTAAATTAGGGACGGCTAGCGCAGATAGCCCTCGTGTAGCTTTGCGCAAAATTCAAACCAAAGTGTAAACCACCTTAATATTAAGCAGACGTATTATTTTACTGGTAGGTCGCGAACGGTAGATAGTAAAATTATGTGAATGATAATTGATTGACTGTAAGACAAACGGTGTTACAGTGTTAAGTTTACAAAGTTTTACTAGTGTTATATTGCTGTTGTTTTTTTTCATATTGTGGACGCGAAAAAAAGCATTCTAACGCTTATTGTTGGAAAACATACCTTAATTTTAATGAGTTAATTATTTGGTATCGTTTGAAAATACCATGCTTTACCGTTACTAGTATACCATGCTTTACCGTTACTACAATACCATGTTTTACCGTTACTAGTATACCATGCTTTACCGTTACTAGAATACCATGCTTTACCGTTACTAGTATACCATGCTTTACCGTTACTACAATACCATGTTTTACCGTTACTAGTATACCATGCTTTACCGTTACTAGAATACCATGCTTTACCGTTACTAGTATACCATGCTTTACCGTTACTAAAATACCATGCTTTACCGTTACTAGAATACCATGCTTTACCGTTACTAGTATACCATGCTTTACCGTTACTAGAATACCATGCTTTACCGTTACTACAATACCAT